TGCATCCATTAGCTCCTTCTCTATTTAAGAAATCTACAAGACAATTATTAGTTCCTTTGACATGTTCAATTTCAAAATCATATTCGGCAAAGAAATGTTTCTTCTTTTCTTGATTAATTAGACATTAAAATTGCATTAACAGTTCTTACTGGGTTAGCAATGTATATTAAATATTTTGGCTTATATTAAGGTTTAAATTTTTATTGAATTAGTTATAATAATTTTTTCTTTCTCCAAAATTCTCCTTGGTTCAAAAAAAAAAAAAATAGATACTAAAATTAAATGTTAAAATCTTATTTTGGTTTTTTTATTTTAACAAAAAGTTTATTTTTAGTCTCTTTAATTATAAAAGTGTTTTTTAGTCTTTAAAATTTATTATTCAGCTTTTTTTAGTCCCTCTGTTATTTTTTCACACACATAACTCATTAAATAACAAAAATTCTAAAATAGAAAGACTAAAAAGGCTATTTTTTTATTTCTCTACTTTAAAAAGCTTCCTTTTTAATTTTTTATTTTAAAATTTTTATTATCTAATATATCATATATGCAAAAAACTTAATACAAGGACTAAAACGAGGTTGAATAATAAATTTTAATGGCTAAAAAAATTTTCTTAAATAGAAGAATTAAAAAGAGATTTTTTTGTTAAAGTAGATAGATCAAAATGAAGTTTTAATCAAAATTAAACCATCTAAGCTAAAGGTTATCGCAGCTAGATAACTCTTCAGATAAGATTTTGTGAATCCTTAAAATTTAAATGACAAATTGTTAGTAGTAATTAGTTGTGCTAATTATATATTATCCACACTTAGGGCTTGGCATTTTGGTTCATGTATTATCGTTATCGTTACCTTTATTACTCAACCCACTTGGACAAGCACTATATCCACTATACCCAAGCTGTGAGAAAATTAAGTGATTGGTCACTCATACTATATTAATAGATTAATGCAAGATTTTCACGCCCAACAAACTTATGATGTAGATCTAAATTAGATTTCTCCGTTTCCAAAGGGAACATTAAGTGTTTTGAGTGATTCGCCTAAAATTAGTAAGGGTTTTTTTAATCTATTTATGGTATAGATTAAGGGTCTAATTATTGTATATTTTTAAAATTAATTAATATTAAAAAAAATTAAAAAAATTATTAATTTCATAACTAGTGCCACACAGATTATTTTAATTGAGTAATTGTTTAAATA